GTTAAATGGCAGGTTAACGGGTTGGTTTGGATTTGTGTTTACATCAAACCATTTTGATTTCATGGGTTTTTTTGGTTGCAGTTTGCCTCCAACATTGAATCTGTTCTCTTCTTCGTAGAATGCTGAAGACGTCATTCTTTCCTTCCCGAGTAAGCTTTTATCATTTGGTTTATTTGTGTAATTGTAATGGTCTGTCATTAAAATGGTTTATGATTTATATCTGTATGCTCAAAGTTCATATCTTGGATTTTGTGATTAGGAAAGTGCTCTTGGTGTCTCTTCCCTATCATCATCTATCAAGGTGAGCTTTTGCAACCTATGGCTTGTCAATTATTTATAAGTTAGTTCCTTTCTCTGTTATTCTATTAGTTGCGCACACAAGTCTCTTACTTGTGAATGATCTTTGGCTTCGGGGATGATTATTGATTATCGTGTTAATTTATCACAACCTTACATAACAGTTATCATCTGCTAGAGGAGCCACTTATTCTAGGATAAATATGGAACTTTCAATCACACGTCCCGATGACTGGCATCTCCATTTGCGTGATGGTGAACTTCTTGAAGCAGTTGCCCCTCACAGGTCGAACCACTTAAATTTATTTACAAGAGTCTCGGGTATCTGGTTGATTTTTTTAATTTTTTTTTTCTGCTAAATTTTACATATGCTGTGATTGATCTTTTATTTCCCTAATCTGTTTCTTTCTTCTTTTTTTTTTTTGATCTCAAATTGTATAAATCATTACACACACACACAGTGCGAATTGCTTTGGAAGAGCTATAGTGATGCCAAACTTGAGACCTCCCATCACCACAACAGCTGCAGCCATGGCCTACCGCCAGTCAGTTCTGAAAGCTCTCCCAGCAAATAGTGACTTCACTCCCTTGATGACCCTTTATTTGACGGACAACACCAGCCCTAACGAGATTAAATTAGCTAGTGAGTCCAATGCACTTATGTTGCATATTTACCAGGCCATGCATGCTTGGTGTTCTGTTTCACGTCTGAGTTCTTATATCAACGTATGCGAATATTTGATGGAACTGTGGTATACATTCACTGGATCATCAAATTACTTTTTGTATTTTTTTCTCATCTGTATGCATTTCCTTCTTTTTCGCAATTATGTGGCTTAAAAAGCTTAGATGAATCAGAAAATTGGGTTTGAAAATCTCTTACCTCGAAAAGAGCTGATGGGGTGTATTAAAACTCCAATTGATTAGTGTAATATTCTTTAACGTTTAATCATACCAGATTCTGTGTTCTAATTCAGGCAAGAACTATGTTTCGGTTTTGTTAAATTTGAGGATATATTTCAAGCAACCCACAAAATAATTATGATCTAATTGGAATTTAGACCTTAATTCTCCCAGAAATTTGTTCCAGAATAGATAGTAAGACAAATTGTAGACAAAAGCAATAAAAAATGGATATTTTATTACTATCCGCTTTTGGATCCAACAAGCGGGGCTAGTCACCAAAGATTTCAAATTTTAGATGCATGATTAATATTCTAGCGTGTTATATAAGTTATTTTTATGTACTCTAGTTCATGACATTAGTAGCTATTGCACAGGAGAGAGTGGAGTTGTATTTGGTGTGAAGTTGTATCCAGCTGGCGCTACTACGAATTCTCAAGATGGTGTGACAGATCTATTCGGAAAGTGTTTACCTGTTCTAGAGGAAATGGTTCAGCAAAACATGCCCTTATTGGTGAGTTTTTTTCTCTGTGTCTGATCGTGTTTACCTCTTTAATAGTTTGCAATGCATCGAGTAAGTAAAATTCACCTCTTCAGGTGCACGGAGAAGTAACAAGTTCTGATGTCGATGTGTTTGACCGTGAAAAAGTCTTCATTGACACGGTTCTTATCCCCTTAACTCAAAAGCTTCCACAGCTGAAGATTGTCATGGAGCATATTACCACTATGGATGCTGTAAACTTTGTCGAGTCTTGCAATGAAGGTAAGTCAACGTTTGTGCTGCACACTTGAACTTCAAAAAGAATCTTTCTAATTAAATTGATGCTTTCAATTTCATTGTCAGAGTCTAATTTCTGTTATGCTTTTTTAGGATTTGTTGCGGCAACTGTCACGCCGCAACATCTCGTTTTGAACAGAAACTCCATATTCCAAGGAGGACTGCAGCCTCACAATTATTGTCTTCCAGTACTAAAACGAGAGACACATAGTACGCCTTTTTTTCTATCACCTTTAGTGTATTAAAAAAATCGATTACCTTTAACTTCCTTATGCACTTACTCAAATTACTTGCTTATCTATACATTTGTCAATTTTGTTAGGTGGGTCTCTTCAGTAGCAGTAGTTTATGCTATTTAGTTTTGTATTTCCATTTTTTTTCAATTCCCTATCCTTCGCAATTAGAAGTCAATCTTCCTCACTTAGTATGCTATTTCTTCTATTTGCTAATATATCACTGCGCGGTTGCTAAGGGGGTGATTGTTTATAGATTCAGCTAGTTTTTATTTGGTTTGTTTTTTAAATATAGTTAATTTTGAAAAAAAATGTGGTATGGTTAGTTGTATTAAAATAATATTTAAATAAAATAATTAGAGTTGATTTTATGTAAGGTAGGAGAAAAATAATTGAAAGTGATGGTTAGTTAAAATTATGTGAATGGATGAATAGTGAATTAAAGTTGATGTGATGTGTAAAAATGATTGGTTGATACTCCCTCCTATTTTTTTTAAATGTCATTCTAGCTTGATCAACTATTTGCCAAATAAATGTCGTTTTGGATCTTTTGTACATATTTTTCCATTATTACCCTCATTTAGATAATAAATACATTACGTCTTTTCATATTCACTCTTCACTTTTTCTCAAAACATTCATCTCTATCTTCATTAAATAAGGTTATTATTGACAAAACAAATATTCTTAATTAATGTGCAACTTTTCAAAACGACATATCTTAAAAATAGGAGGTAGTATTATTTAATTATATTGCTAATATTGAAGATAGTGGGGTTGAGTTAAATTTGAATTTTGATTGTTTTTTTTTATTGTTGAAACAATATCTATTTGCCCCCTAATTTGCTGGTCGTTTTAGGACGTGCAATTGTGTCGGCTGTCACAAGCGGAAGTAAACGATTTTTCCTCGGTACCGATAGTGCTCCTCATGAAAGAAGAAGAAAAGAGTCTGCTTGTGGATGTGCAGGAATATATAATTCCCCTATAGCCTTGTCGGTTTATGCCAAGGTCTTCGAAGAGGCAAGTAACTTCAAAACAAAAAATCAACTTTACTACGACATACTTTTTTAAACCTAGCTGATAAGCTAATTTATAACTTTTAAGTGAATTTCGAGCTTATAGTTGATAGCTTATAATTTATGGTTGAAAAGTTAGCTTATATGATAAAAGTGTTTAAAATTAGGTGATAAGTTAGCTAAAATAAAAATTCAAAACAATGGACTTTATTCGAAAAGCTACCCAAGAAAGCGAAAGCTTATGAGACAAGTCGAGCTTTTTAAAAAAACTCGTCCTACCAAACTGAACTTATTTATATACGGGAAGCTTATAAGCTAATTAAATAAAGGGTAAATAATATTTTTCAACCTGTACTATACGTGTTTTCGGGATTTTCAACCTAAAGTATTATTTGTTATAAAATGTAACCTGAACTATATATACAATCACTATTTGCACGCTCAACCACATCTTGACCATACACGTGTCTTTTTTTGTTGTTGATCGGACAGTCAAAAAGTAGTCCAACGTGCAAATAATTATATATATGTAGTTCAGGTTGCATTTTACCAAAAAAAATACTTTAGGTTGAAAATCTCATAAGCACGTATAATAAAGGTTGGAAAGAATTATTTACCCTTAAATAAACTATAAGCAAGTTTTTATACTTAGCAAACTCAACCTAAAATTTATATATGACTTTTATCATCACTATCCAAAGTGCATGCAACTTGGTGTTTGTTTTCAGGCTGGTGCACTGGACAAGCTAGAAGGATTTACGAGCTTTAACGGACCCGACTTCTACAATCTCCCTAGAAACAAGTCAAAGATCAAGTTGACGAAAACCTCCTGGAAAGTACCTTCTTCGTTTTCTTTCACATGGGGCGAAATTGTTCCCATGTTTGCTGGTGAGACACTCGAGTGGAATATTTCGAACACTTCAAGTTAGAAAGAACGAAGGAATATTTCAATTTCGAAACACTTCAGGTTAGTTGGCTTTCTTTTAAACTTGGTTTTCGAGACTTTTGTTTTGTAACGTTTTCATACAAGTTAATAAGAAGATGCATGTTGATTGATTTCAAATTGCCATGAACATAAACGTCATGTCTCTCTCACTTTATTACAAACCAACAAACATCATCACACAACATTCAGACATAAATATAAAAAAACTAGGATCAGTATCAGTTTTCAATTGTATCGCTTTCGGTTGGCCAAGGGTTCACGATGAGCATTGAAATAAACGGTGCAAACGGGCATCCCTAGGTTAAAGCGCTGTGCGAAGGCCCGTGTGTTGAAATTCGAGCGGCTTTGTGGGGCCTCCAATATTCCGATGCCGAGCCTCGTGTGCTGCCGGAATAACACTAATATGTACCGGTGTATCCCGACCGTCGGTTTTGGCCCCACATAGGCCAAAATCTCCTTGCCTATACATATATACACAGACACACACACACACACATTATGCACACACACATACATTAATGAAAATTGTAGTAAAAAGTAGAGAAAACAATGGACTTAGAACATGAAATTTTAATTATGAGATTTTAGGGTAAATGGAAAGATTGTCAATTTACCTCGAGTTACATTGGAGCAGCCTGGAATGTCTGTAACAATCCTGCAGGAATGTAAAAAATAAAATAAAAATAAAAAAAATAGTTAATTTGATTTGATTAATTGAATTTAATGTAATTAATTGGGGGCAAAATTGGAATTTATGCTGACCAATGAACCCACTCTCTCAAGCTTGGCTCACTTGGACTAGGAGCATCAGGATCTGTCATCACCTGCATGCATGAATATATATAAAATAGTTAGCTGTGTTTGATCAACTTCTTAGCAAAGAACTCATTTTTTAAAAAATATAAATAATGCCCCTACAACTTTACATATTCATGCATTTACACCCTTATTTAGCAAAAAAGCTACCAATTAGCCTCAATAAAGATTGAAACTCATTACATCAAATTTCATTTTCTTTTTTCCATCAATTAAATAGAAAGATAAAATAATATACTTGAATAATAATAATAATAATAATAATAATAATAATAATAATACACAAAAAAGAATTAATTAATAATGGGTGTTCACCAAAGTGTAGAGCTCGTCGGAACTTCCGGCAACGGTGACTCTAGGCTGCTCGGCCGCCACGGACGGCTTAATGTCACAACCATTGTTGACGTGCTTCGAGGCATAGTAAACGGACATCGACACGCTCGGCACGAACAAGTCGACCACGTCACCAATGACTCGACCGACGACCAATGGATCTACATTTGCACCCATTTTTTTATTTTTTTATTAAAAAAAAAATATCTAGTATTGCATATATACATATAAATGAATATATATATATATATATATATATATATTGTGGCTAGTGAGATTAAGGTTTTTTATAGGCCCGAAAAAAGTGAGTGAGGGCTGAAAAAGAGGTGCAACATAGAGTACATGCAGTGGGCAAAGGGAAAAGCAATTTGCAACGTGTGTGTTTGTATGTTGAATTATTGATTGTGGCTAAGCATTGGAAATTTCACCACCAAATGGTTTGTTGGCGCTTGAGTATTGACATGCGCTGGGTCATATCGACTCGAGGGCTGCAAAAGAATCGAACAACTAGCGTGCGTTGGAGTCAATGTTCAATTCGAACTTCAGTCGAATTAAGCTAGAGCTCCCCTTGAATTTGAACTTTAGTCGAGCTCGAGCATGTAGTTTGTAAGCTAAATGCGTTCAAATATATATACATATATATATATATATACTAGTTTGGTTACGGCTGTGCACAGCACAACCGCACCCAATTTTGATTTTAAGTAATGTTGTAAGTAATAAACCGTCGAACTAAAAATTGCGTTAGAAAAATCAATTGGTATTTTACGGAAAAGATAATTCATACACGATTAGTGAATATACATTATGTATGTAGGTCCTTTCCGAACTGCATAATGATTGAGCTTAAAGTAAGCATTGGTGCGCAATTTTTATGTTCTACCATATTGATATATTGATTTATTGTTCAGAAGAAATAGATGCAACATTTTATGAATTAACGAAGCTTTAATCTAAATAATCAACAAACATGCTACTTCTCGACATGTAGTAAAAATACTACTCAGTGTAATTTAACAGATTAGCATTGATATAACATCGATATAGGGCGCTAATAAAAAACCATTAAGACGGAAGCCAATCCAAAACCTCAATGCATTGGCAGAAGTCAAAAGTACGACATCAAGCAGTTATGAAACAACAAATGTGGGCTTTTGTAGATACAATGTTTGTGCATTCCAAAGCACACCCTTCCCTTCCCTTCTGTGTTTTAGTTATAATGAAAAACAAAGCAATGCAACAACTAAAACATTAAAATCACTCTTTTTTTATTTTTATTTTTGAAGTTCCTGGAATAAATTAGTAGGTGATAAAAGCATTATTACCTTTTTTTTCCCCATGGTCACCCTCTCTGCACGTTTCTCATTACACAGCATGAGCGTAAACAACAGCCTCATCCAAGGTTAAGCACCATAAGCAACAACACCATGTCTAGCAAATAACAGATACTCGAACAAAAGTTATCATCTTCCTACCTAGATGGCACAAGTTAATTTACTCTTTTATCCAATCTTATTGTTAAGATAGTAAGATTTTTCTAATTAGTAATTGCCTAAACAATATAATGACAGGTAATTTGACCGAATTCAAAAATTATCTATTTTCAACATTTGTTTTTAAATAAGAATTGTTATGCAAAAGAGAGGATACCTTCCTTTTTTTGAGCAAATCACAGCATGTCATGCCAGGCATACAATAGTTTGTCATAACACGTTTTAGTTTCACCTACTGTATATAAAATAAAACTTACGAGGAAATGTATGAAAAATAAAAATAAAAAACAAAGTGACAATTACAATTTAGAGCTTAAGCAACAATAAAAAAAATTCAACAAAGGTACAGAGCGAAGAATCAAATGAGAGATAGAAAGCACTTGAACTTACTCAGATTGAGCATCTCCCACCAACATCAAGTTACCATCTTTATCTTTATAAGAGGACACATATTCAGATCGCTCATGGCCTACTATTTATGAGTATTGACCTGAATTAATTAATAACAGCTGCAACTAAAAAAATAGTGTTCTTTAAGAGTTTTTCTCCGAGTGATGGTGCTTCCAGCTGTTTCTATATAACTATATAACTGATCATTACCTTCAAAGACAATGATATAATATTTTAGCTTACTAAGCATGTGGTAAGTGTATGCCGCATATCAACATAACAATGTGCTCTATCACGAAAAGCCATTTGTAGGCTAACAAGGAAAGATGCAAGCAAGCCATTCGTCTATTCCAAATTCTCGATGGGAGAGGTCTTGGAACAATCAAGAGATTGAGCTAGTTACATACCAAAAAGAAAGGTAGAGTTTTGCACTATCAGTTTCGTATCTTGAGCATTGTCCTTATTCATGTGAGACTGGAAGCATAACTCAAGCTTAAAGTAATTGTGACAGTAAAAAACAACTATAGCGATTTTTTGTGGGGGAAAAAAGAAGAAAAGGTTAATTAAAGATTCAAACACCAAAAAATCCCTTAACAGACATAAAAATAAAATCAAAACCAGAATAGGACAATATATTACCCGCATTTTGTGACCTTAACAGGGCAAACAAGCATATTCCACCTAACCGTCTCGTACGGAGTTGATTAATGTTTATTGCATTTATTAATCTCGATAAACAAAATCACCAGAATGAAACAAAAGTCTAGCATAATGCTTATTGTTACACGATACGAGTTGAATTCGGGAAATGAAAGACAATTGGAAAAAACATGTAAAATCAAACAAGGCATATAATAGCAATAAAAAAACTGGATTTTTATACCTTGTCTACATGATGAAAGCACAACATGACCATGTGAGTTCATAATCATATTTCAACCTGCAACATCAAAAACCAATTGCAACATTGAATACAAACTTCAACATAACTCACAAGATAACAGCTCAACAATCAAACCCAAAAATAGAAATCGCATTCAAACTTGTAAATGGATTAAATAAATTGGTGGCTGCAAGAAAATACCATGGACAATTGTGGAACCAACCTAGAAAAAATAATATGTGAAACAACTGGTTCCAATAGAATACCTGAAATGAGACAGATATTGTTAAATCTAGAACCTGCATAAAATCGACCAGGACGAAACCTTACCTTATAAATGATACTCTATATTAAACTAACCCAACAAAAATAGATTATCATCACCATATCTACAGAAAACATATATTCTCATCTCAAATCAGCTAACAAATAGCCTAGGGACAACCCAATGGCCGCAGAGACAAATGAAGCATCAAGCACAAACCTGGCAAATTGTCCGAATTTGATGGGTAAACGGCAGCAAGAGTAGGATGAAGATGTATGTTGAGGTGCTTATTACAACTTTCAGCAGCTTCGACGGGCTAATTTCTCTATGGGATGCTCCCTACACAAGCTGAAAACACACCAGAGCAAGGTGATGTGAAACAAAGGAATAATTACGCAGTAGAAAAATAAAGGCGATGTGAAACCTGAAATTAATTTGCTTGTTTGTTTTCATCGATTATGGAGTAACTAATCGAACCCCTTACCCTCGCTCGACTGCAAGTAGGGTTCGTGTTATGTCAGAAAGAGGCTGTGGGATTTGTTTGGTCGAGAGATTCATAGGTGGCAGATGGACATGCCAGTCGTCGGAGAATGCCAGTTAGTATCCTAGCAGCATAACATACAAATCTATTAAGTTCTTCTCCCTATATATATTTGCCTGCAGAATAATGACATGAGAATTAATTATAACTCAGCAAGTGCAAGATTCTATCGCAATCTAACAATCGTTCAACCTTATATGGGGAATAAGGAACACTAATTGATAACTTAAGAAATTAACTAACCCAAACAAACGGGGACCAGAAATCAAACGAGACATTATCAAATATAACCTATGAACCAAAAACATAGAAGAATATCAGCCAGTCGTACCGGAACAATTCCCGTGCGTACATAACAAAATTCAGTTTATATCGATCAATATCAACTCACAGATTAGGGACATGCAATCAATCTATCAAATTAGATTCTTAAGGCAAAATGTCTTTGAATTTACTTGCCTCCAATCCTTCAATCCATCGAAAGTAAGACAAGTGTGAGTAAAAACCTGTTCGTGGATATTATCAGCGATGCGATAGTAATTGCGGAGAGAGATCGAGTTGTTGACGTTGTTCTTTTGAGCCATGGCACAGAAAACAAACTTCAACAATTAAACCTGGGATGTCCAAAAAACAATGTCAACTGAAACACGTGAGAAAGGAAAAATTGTATATACTGAAAATTTTCTTTTGACAAACATAATTAACCTGAAATGAATACTCATTTCAATGAATACTCATTTCAGGCGACGATAAGAATAATGGCTGATACTGAATGCACCAGGTATCTACGACTTCCTAATTCATCCTCGAACAACCAAGCAACAAAGTGCGTCTAATGGTCCCCCTGGTTTCGCTGGTATCTATCGAGAGGACACCCTTACCTCGTCGATCTTCCAGACACTACACAAGTCTGTAAAAACCCATCAAAAATCCTACTCAGCTCCTCCACATGATAATAAACAGTCAAACACAAAACAATCACACTGCAAACAATCTGCATTTGATCGAACAAATTCTAACTGACAAGATGTGAGTCATCGTTCACAGTTCACCTGTGGGCCGTGACCTTGGTCTCTATGAACCTCAGCCCATCGAATCTCGATTATTCCTCCGTCCCAGCTGAGCCTTCCCGATTATTCACATATTTGCTCTTATCCGTGCAGGACGCAGCCACAACGTACACGACAAGTGTGCATTTCATATCTCCGGCGTCAAACCACACAAATTTATGGGATCAATTGACTTACGCTCGAAAATGATGGACGAAATCCGACAAAGCCCAATCGCCCTCGATCCTAAATCCCTCTTTTGTCTCTCTGTCTCTGTCTCTCTGTCTCGCTCTCTCTCCATTAATAAAAATGGTAAAGTTGAAAACAGGGTTTCACAGAAGACGTTTCTTAATTATCAAGATATACATAACCTAATACGACGCCCTTTTCCCTTACACAATTAGAAAAAAATAACAACTGATGAAAAGCAGAAAAAAAAAGAAAGAAAACCAAACTATTGTTAGAATTAAAGTATTGATGAAGGCAGGGATAAAAGAAATCACATCGGTCTGGTGGTTTTGGAGACACGACGGGCCATGAGGGCGTACAGGATGGGGTAGCAGATCAAGCGGCAGATCAAGCGGCAGACAAGCAACGACATTCGTGCTAGGCGGCGGAGGGCACGACAATGACTTTCACCTGGCGGTCCCGGACCGTGGTCTTGACGGTCAAGCAGAGCCATCCCTCGTACTTGGCGAGTCTCGTTGGTGATGTCCTCGCTGATCTTATTGGGGGAGAGGCCAAGTAGTGGGATCTTGGGTGCGAGGGAGTACGCCGCGCCGACCTCGTAGCTGGTGACGAAGAACACGTCAACCACCTGAGACGGATCGAATTTCGGTGACATTTTTCAGATGAAGATATATGTGAGGCTAAGGCTGCAAGCGGCCGTGGAGCGGCGGCGTTGCGTGGAAAATGAGTAGCGAGGGTTTGAGAGAAAATGTTTGATTTGAGAAGACACAAAAAAACCTATATAGCTTAAGAATTAAGCAAAAGAAAAACGACGTCGTTTGTCTACGGGATGTAAAATAAAGGCTACAGCTTGCACCACGTGGCGTGAAAACAAAGTGTTGTCATTTTTTCTTATAAGAATAAGAGATTTGAATATAATGTCAAAGAGAAAAATGTAGTTATATATAATATATTATAAAGAGGAATATTAATTGTTGATATATAATATAACAAAATAAGAGGAACCCTATATACAAGTAGCAACAGAATTACGTAGCTCTAATGTAATCTTATCACCTAAACATCAGTCAGTCCTAGAATAATACAACACCATCCAACATTCAAAGTTGAGAACCAATAATCATAAGGGCCGTCGTCTGCACAAGGTATTTCACAACCCAGAAGGATTTTAAAGAATCAAAAAGGCCATGACAAATACAACTCCAGCATCTGAACAAGCAAAGATCAACCCACCACACATTGTAACTGCACAACCAAATCACCCTCATACGGTGCTTCGGAAGACGAATATCCCTCCAAAATAAAACTGGCGGCGAATACAATTTACCACAGCCCACGATATACATACCACACGACAGCTAGAGCCCCCCATACTAAAGCAACAAGCAAAGTTATAACTAAAAAGATAAGTGTAATATTTTTACTAAAAGAATAATTGCAAATGCCGAGACAAGAAAAACAAATCCGAGATCGTTCGTTAGTCCCATGCACTTGTCAAGGTAGAAGAAGCATAACCTCCACCGTACCCACCCGGGCCACCGCCGCTGTTCACGTTACCGTTATTATTATTGCCATAGAAGTCCACTCCACCTCTGTTATCCTTCCGGAAGTCTCTTCCACCAAATCTTCCACCAGAGCCTCCCCCACGGCGGCCCTTTCCGCCGAACGATGACCTGGCGGCAAAGCGTGAAAGCCAGGCGGGGACCTCCTGGTTTGCCTCTTGCATCAGGTCGGCCAGTGGCCTAGCCAAAGAGGAATTGTTGTCGTTGAAGAAGGCAGTGGCTAGGCCTGTTTTTCCAGCCCGGCCCGTGCGACCGATCCGGTGGACGTAATCATCGATATCGTTGGGGAGGTCAAAGTTGACAACATGGGCCACATGCGGGATGTCGAGCCCACGAGCTGCAACATCAGTCGCCACCAGGATTGGTGTTTTCCCACTTTTGAAGGATCTCAGAGCATATTCTCTCTCCTACAGCTCACAGAGGAACTTGTCAACTAATTTTGATCATAGGAAATGATAACAATTTACAAAAATATTACACTAAAACTAGTCCAAATGATGTAATGGAATGTTCTTAATTTCTCAGGCACATACATGTTAGCAATTTACTCCTAAAGGACGCGTCAGTAGAGAATCTCATTTCATGAAACTTGTGGTCTAACGTACTAGCAAATATTGGACTGTAGGAACAGTCGTGAGCTTATGTCCTTTTCATCTCATATTTGATTAAATTCTATCATCAGTTCAAGATGCATCTACACATCCAAGACTTCGTAAAAGCTCGTGCCCTTCAACAATTTCTATGAAGTAGACAAAACTAACCTGTTGTGTCCTGTCACCATGTATGGATGTAGCAGGAAACCCATTAATGCAGAGCCAGTGTTCAAGCGAATCTGCTCCCTTCTTTGTCTCGACAAAAACAAGCGTAAGAGCTTGCTGCAAATCAGACCACAAAACCCAGTAAATTGACAGCGAAAACTGTATGCACACAAAGCACGTTTACTTCTCCCGCATGGAAAAGCAATAAATGGAAGTGGAACTTCCATCTAGAAAATAAATACTTCAGAAATTTTTAAGATTCCATTGAATGAAGATTAAAAGCTTCTATCTGTTCGACTGAAAAAAATCTTTTAGTGTCCCTCTAATGAAACTGCAGACCCTTACGAGTACTTTGATATAATAAACACAAAAATTGCAGGTTCTCCAGAACTTTATTTCAACTTATACATAAATTTATCCAACACCACCAACGCAAAAATTTGACATTCAGCTATAGTGACACTCCATCACTTCTATACTCCAAAACATATGAATATATAAAAGTTTATAGTATTCTGATCATACCTTAGCCTGAAGACCATTTGCTCTCTGTGCATGGAGAAGATCCATCAGGTGACTTCTTTTGTCAGTCTCAAGCACATATTCAACCCTTTGTTCAATCAAGTCGGTACTAGATCCAACCCTTCCAACAGCCAGAAACACGTAATTTGATAGAAAATCAGCAGCCAGCCTCTGCACATATAACAACAGAACATGACAAGATGATAATGGAAAGATAAAAAATAGTAAATTTGTCTGGCCAATTTTCCAGGATGAACTCACTAAGTCACTTGAGAAATGAGACCGAAAGTTCTGCCCACTTTGAGTTATTAAGAGGGTAATTGCATATTTAAAACACAAGTGAATTTCTTTAAAACAGACCTCATGCAAATTATGCAATACTTCCTTGTTAAGGGAAGGCAGTGACATAAAACGTTCAGGTCGAATCACACTTCCATAAAAACTTGCCAATTCATTATGCTAAAAAACAAAAAATATTAGTAGATCTTGTGGCGTCTGTAAATTCAGAAATAAACCTGAATCTCCTTTGGAAATGTAGCGCTAAACAACAATGTCTGTCGTACACCAGCCGGAGGCATGTCCATCTGTTGCACAATTCTCCTTATTTGAGGCTCAAAACCCATGTCTAACATTCTATCTGCCTCATCTAGGGCTAAATACTTAATCATTTGCAATGAGACTCTTGCTCTTTCCAACAAATCAACTAACCGTCCGGGAGTTGCAACAAGTATGTCCACACCTCTTTCAAGTTCTCGAAGCTGTCAAAGAGCCAGTATCAGAAGTAATAGCTAATATATTGAGCAAGGCAGATAATAGTGTAATGCATGTAGGCAACAAACAGAATTTCTACATATCATGTACAAAAAAAAAAAAAAGCAACAGTTGAGGTTCTGGCAAGCAGATAAAATCAAGCATCATAGAGTTTTACATGGGAGACATAGATTAAACTCAAAATTAATGAATACCAATAGGTGCATCATGGTTCCCAGTAATATAACGTTTGGAACCTAAAGTCTGGAACATATTCAGGTAAAGGAACAATGCCAACACATTATCAATCAACGGCGAAATCATTTCTTATGTGAGTGTAAAATGTTTCCTACAATGGCATGCAACACTTTCTTAATTTTATATCAAAATAATTTACTTGAATAATTTAATTTGAGAGGGCATTAGAAATAAAGGTTAAGCCACACATGTTATCAAAAACTTTGTGGCAACATTAATCAATGCACTCAAAACTTATGATCAAGAGAATCTCCAGGTACACTGCGCACCAAACAAATGGAACATTTACACATCCCAAGTGAGTTAGTTTCTAGTATTCAACACATAGTTGAGTTCATAGAGTGCTAATAATATTCATGCAAAATCATCTAAAAAGTTCAGCATAAATGCAGAATGATGCTCAAACCACCCCAACTAAAAATCCCACGCAGATGCAACGAAACTTTTACGTAGTTTCTCAAACTGCATAAAATGAATGCTTCAGTTCGAAGTTATAATGTCTAAAGTATACATATAAAAGTCATAGGGACGAGAATTCTAGATCAAACAGATATAGAGATGTGGGTTCGCCAGCAGGAATAATGCAACTAAAAAACAACCCAATAAGTAAAAGAATGAGACCTGTAGATTGATAGGTGCACCACCATATGCAACAACCACCTTGACGCCAGTTTGATAAGCAAATTTCTTGGCTTCTTCATGGATCTGTATGACAATACCCATTAATGAGAACAAGAAAAGAGAAAACAACACATAGATCAGCATAGCTTAACACAAACTTACTTGCATTGAAAGTTCCCTAGTGGGAGAAAGAATGAGAGCAAATGGAAAAGCCATACGCGGCATGCGAGGTGGTCTCGGTCCAGATTGACTGCTTTTCATGATCCCACTAATTATCGGGAAACAAAACGCCGCCGTCTTTCCAGAACCAGTCTGGGCACAGGCCATCAAGTCCCGCCCGGCAAGTGCGATTGGTATGGCATACCTCTGCACAGGAGTTGGCTTCACATACTTGCACCTCCTAATGTTTAGATTTAAAGCCTCTCCGAGATCTATATCCGCAAACGTATTGACCGGTGGGGGCACATCCCTCCCACTCGTCTCCACCGGAATATCCTCGTATGCGTCAAAATTGATCCCCGTGTTCTCCTGCTCCCCAAATGCTGGTTCTGCATCGGCATCTTCTTGAAAAGGGTTAGCTTCTCTCTCCCTCCCACGATCCCACCCGCCGCCTCTGTTATTCCATCCGCCACTGCTGCCACCACGGCCCCCACCACCGACACCTCCGTTTCTATCTTTCCAAACACCCACAGGATGAAAAACACCGCCCATAGATGGACCACCTGGTCCAT